CCAAGCCAAATTTAATAAATTTTTTTTTATTTAAGTTCTATGAATCTGTAGAATTCAAATAAAAAAATATTAATTGAATTTTGTCATGATATCTTCACTTAAATATTTAAAAATTCAAAACATCTATCAAAAAGAGCTGTGCCAAACTTTTTTTTAAACTTGAGTAAAGATATCATGACACCCACCAAGCCAAATTTGATGAACTTTACTAATTCGTAGAATTTAAATAAAAAAGTTTATCAAATTTGACTTGGTGAGTGTCAAGATATCTTTACTCAAAGATATATAAAATTCAAAATGTTTATCAAAAAGAATTAACCATAGCTGCCACAACAAAATTGTAACAACAAATTCTTAATTTTAATTAGCTAAGAGCAATAATCAAAAAATTAGGCTGTAATAACTCATAATTTTACTAATAAAATCGCAGCCACCTATTAAGTGAAAATTGTTTTTGGGCTAATTTTACTATAATATGGGCTTATTTTTTAAAAATTTATATTTTTGTAAAAAAAAATTAAAATATTAATTCTGGCCAGAAATTAGTAAACAATTATGTAATGCAGGCCAAAATTTCGAAGATCTTCAGCCGTTAGCTAATCAAATTCAAGGATCTGCCATAACAATTTTGTTGCAGCAGCTATGGTTAATATCAAGAAAGCCAAACTTTTTTTAAACTTTGAGTGAAGATATCTCAACACCCACCAAGCCAAATTCGAAGAACTTTTTTTTTGAATTCTACAGATTCATAAAATTTAAATAAAAAAAAGTTTATAAAATTTGACTTGGTAAGTATTGAGATTACTTCTTTCAAAGATTTAAAAAATTCAAACTATCTATCAAAAAGAAGAGTTGTGCCAAACTTTTTATTGAAAATGTTTCAGAGATTTTGCCATTTTGGTTTCGCTGGGTTTTGGAGATTTTGCCAGGTTTCAGAAATTTCACCATTTCACCTATTTCAAAAATTTCGGATTTATTTCGCCTTTGGGAGAATTTCAGTTTTGCCTTTCAGATTTTGGAAATGTATTTCGCCCGCAACACTAATTGCAACAAAATATTTACAGTACTAGTTCTGAAACTGTAATACTCACAATAGAATTATAAGAATTCCAATATAAACTAACTTATATTAATGACAAATTGTGGTCATTGGAATAGTGAGTAAGTTCTCTAATAATCTTTTTTACTGAAATCATAATAAAAATTATAATAATTCTAATAAAAACTAACTGACTTTAAATAACTATAATAGTCACTGAATAGCATTTCTATATGAAATTATTTATAGCAACTCACAATAGAGATTATGATAATCCAATACAAACTGGACTGAAATGGCAAATAAGTTCTGTAGCATAATTCTTTAGTAACTTAGATAAAATCATGTTAATTCCAATGCAAACTAACTTGAACTTATCTACATATAGTAATCACAGTATTATGCTAGGGTTGCTGTTCAATTTCCCGCCAACTCATTCCACTGACACCATAATGCTAAAATGCTATTTCATCTACAGCACACTTTTTGACAAGATATATTCGACATTATATTTTTTCAATAATCCTAATGTTGGTTAAAACTATTATGTCAAATAAATAATTGTTGGAAATTTTCTTGTCTAAGAAAACAATTGTTGAAAAAATATAATGTCAAATATATATCTTATTGAAAAGGTGTGTCAGATAGAGATAATAATCGATTATGAAATGATCGGTCATATGGTTCATTCGATCGTGACCGATTATGAAAGTTCTTTTTTGTGTTTGATATCGATAAGAGATCAAGCATATCGATTATTATTGATCATTAAATTATTATAAAAAAATTGATCTAAAAAAATCTGATCGATCATTAAATTTAAAGCACTTTAGGTGTTAGCAGATCTTCTATAAGTCGGGTTTTTGTGCATTTTCAAAAATATAGTTGTATTGAAAAACTTCTATCGCTTTTAGGAAAACCCATTCTTTAAACATGAATGATATAAATTATCTTCAAGTTTTAATAATGAAAAAAAACCTGACTAGTACTTGTATGAATTACAATCCGAGATGGAACTTTGGTTGGACGTAACCTTAGTCTTACAACAATTTGGAGGGCTATACACCGACTTGGATATATGCACAAAAAAGGTAATTTATACATATTTTTAATTTATAAACTTTTAACAATTTTATAAAAAGTTCTTTTGTATTAATAGCTCCTGATTCAGGTTCTTTCACGTTAATAGTATCCGATTTAGAACCTTTTTCACTATTTATTTCTGAATCAGTTGCGGTCACTTCGGACAAGTTAGGTAGCTCAAAAGTATTTGTCATGGACAATAAAGATTCTAGAAAATCTTTAATTGTTAGATCTACTATTTCGCTTTGATTGTGTTGATCATAATTTTTAACACATTTTCGACAAATATTAATTAAGTCTTGATCTTTTAGAATTTCGACTTTAGTTGAATTTTTAGTCCAATCGACGAATTCTTAATCGTATCTAACTTTTTTAATATTAGCACCTATTCATGTGATATATTTAATATAAAAGCTAATTTGATATCCAGAGCCTTTTTTATTTTTCTTGTCATGTTTTTTTGGTTGACAAGAACAATCCTTTCCGCACAACTTAAACACACTAAACATATTGGGCAAGCATTAAAACCAAATTTTAATAATGTTGACATTATAATAATAAAATTATTTGTACGTAGAACAGGTATTATATTTATTATGGTAATTTTTGAAATTGGACCAAAATGTAATTTATGACGTAGATATTATATCAATATTACAGTAAACTAAAATTGAACAAATTCAAAAATATATTTTTTATATACTGATCATGCTGAAAAATAACCGGCCGAAAAAAATTTTGGCTAATTTTTTATAGGTGTCCTAGGAATAATGAAAACAGCTGTAAACATTTGCCTTGATAGTTAGAATTTAATATACCGGCTTTTAATTTATATTTTAAAATATTGGAGTATTAAACTAATAACATATTGGAGTTAGTATGATGTGAAAAGAAAACCTCAATAAAAAATATACTAATACGCATATAATTTCAGAAGCAGATCAGAAGAACTTAAGTCCAGGCTATGGTCAAAAAATTTTTGATATGGGTTTCGCATGAATTCCAGGGTGGAGTAAAATAAGTCATTTATTAGTATACAGTTTTTGTATTTAACTTTTAAATACGTACTGTAATGATTAATTTTTCCTGTGTCTCCTCACTTCCGTATTTGTCTAATTCTTTAAGTCGTTACTCACCTTCCATAATTGTTCATGTTAATCTTACCCTAGTAGTATTAGGCATTATTATGTATTCTTGGTAGCTTATTTCATGCCGGAGCGTTTACGCTCATATGCGCTTGCATAAACTTGTGATCTTTGCGCCTTGGGCAAATATGGAATCATGGAATCTACAACGTAAGCATTGAGATCCTGATGTTGACCATATGTAAAATTAGAATGTATATAAGAGTGTATCTTCATCCTTAGTTGAGGATAACCTTCGCTCTCCCAAAATTCCTCAATAAATAAAGGTCACATATATTCACATTCTTTGTTATCATAAATGCCTAATAAATCATGAATACCATAATTTATCGCCCAATTCATGTGACCCTTCTAACGTCAACCATCGCCAGCATGACAATAGCAAGCTCTCCCTTACGATGGTTACAGTATGTATATGAATTAAAAACCTTCTCTTCATTTTATTTAATCTAAAGAATCAATTTTATGATCGATCATATGATCGATCATATTGTTATAATCGATCAAATAATTGGTGATTTTGATCGATCGCTAATTTTCAATCGATCATAATTCGACCGATCAAACTTTCAAACATTTTATATATAATCGATCATATGATCGATCACAGAAATTTTCACCGATCAGTATCTCTAGTGTCGGGGAATGAGTTGGTGGGGATGAGCTTTTGGGGAATCATACCGTAATAGTATCCTCTATTCTAACTCCCTTTAACAACTCAAGCGCCTAGTTAAATAATAATAATAATTCATCGACGTTGATAATGATTTTGAAGATCCATAACAATACTTGAACAATTATTTTTTCTAATTAATCAATGAAAATTTTCGACCAATAAACGCAACTCTATGACAAAAAAAGGACGTCTGGGTCTCTATCACTTGTTGGGGTGTATCTATTTACAAACATAGTGCAGGTTACATAATGAAAGATCAGTGATAGTATAATAGTCAAAACATATAAAATTCAAACTGCAATAACTCATGTACAAACATTTGTCGGATTCATTTTAGCATGCTCTTTGAAGAAACAACGCCTTTTTTTATTTATTTTTATTGTTTAGAGCATAGCAGGTGTCTCAACCTTCATGTATAAGTGTCGTCTTTGATGTTTTTTAATATAAACATCAAAAACGTAACTTCGGATTTTTGTCTATCGCATTGTATTGCAAAATTCAAAGCTATGTTTTGATTTTTTTATTAAAAAAAAATAAAAGACGACACTTATGCATGAAGATTGAAACACCCGCTATGCTCTAAACAATAAAAATAAATAAAAAAGGCGTCGTTACTTCAAAGAGCATGCTAAAATGAATCCAACGAGTGTAATTTTATTTGTGTGGACTTGTTGGTAAAGAGTTATTGCAGTTTAAATTTTATATGTTTTTACTATATACGCTATCGTTGATCTATAAACAAATTATATTAGTGATTTTCACTATACCCCACTATGTTTGTAAATAGGCTTGTATTATACACCCAACCGATTATGCCAAAATCAATAACTTAATCGAAAAATCATGTAAAAAAACTAATTACCGGAATTTTTCACGTTGCTACGTACGTTGAGAAAGTGGAGACTAATTCGTTCAATTTTAAAACTAACTAGAATACTAAATTAATCGACTACACAATCCAGTCTAGGCTTCAAGACTCCTAAAAACCTCGAGTTGAAAGGCGGAAAGATAGGCGTGGAAAGACTTGGTCCTTCAAGGTCTTTCGGGTCTTGGGATAATGTATATGACCTTAGATACGTCTCCTGTATCCTTTTTACTATTTGGTTGCTTGGTTGTATCGGACTCTAACTCTAATATCCTTATGCCTTCAATTTAGTATGTTTCAACCGGATGTCACGGGTAATTTAATTGTTCGATCAATTAATTGATTGATGACTTAATTAGTGATGTTAATGCGTCACGGGAAATATAAGGGTTTAATATATGTATTTCTTTATGCGAAAGGGGTTCTATAGGTTATTTAGTACTCTCTTATATTTTGACGTTTTTCGAAAAATATATATATATATATGGTCACGGGGACAAAAGTTATACGATAAGTATTTTTATAATATGTATTTTGGAAATTGGAATTGGCACTTCTTATTTCGTAAGTGTTTAAACGAATTTTACTTTTACTTGTCTTGGGGTTTTTCTAATAAGTGATAACTTTATTTTACGATTTGGGACAGGAAAATGGGTATTTTACTACTAACAATTCGGGTCAGAAGGATAGTTTTATTAAGGAACAACTTCTACTATTAAGTCTTCGAAGTGTGAGGTTTTAAAACTCCGTAGAGTTATATTTTTATTTTCGGTGAGCTAAAGGCTCTTATATAGTAGAACTTTACAGACTATAATTTGATTCAATTGATTTAATTGAGTCAATTGATTCTTTCGTTTCAATTGACTCAATTGCTTCTATTGAATCGATACTAACTATAAACGAAAATCCCACCGTAAACTCCCAAAAATAGAAATAAAATAAAAAAAATGATAAAATGGAAGTAGATAATCGGACACAGCCTAATTTTCTAACGGGGCGTCACCGATTTTAACCGTCACAACGTACAAAGTTATTTTACTAGCTTTTTTTTTTTAATTGCTTAGACCCGAAAATTCTGGTTTTACAATACTACGCTGTATATATATCGAAAAGGGACGAAATTGGCAATTTTTTCAAAAGTTGTTTTTTTACATAAATCATTTTTCACTTAAGACACAAAAGTAGTTGTGTTAATAAAATTTTGCAATATAGCTTCTTAAAGTTTGTATTTTCTTTGATTTATTATAAGATTTACAACATAAAAATTGATTTTCCGAAGATCTTTGTTTTTGTCTCTTTTCACAGCACCTAGCCCATATATAGTATAAAAAATAAATTATATAGAGTATTTTAACTCTCACAGGAGGTGAAAATTCACCGAATTCACCGGGTGTATATCTCAGAAACGGTATTCTAAGTAATAATGTTCAGGACCCTCGAGAACTGAAATTGGGACCTTGTATCAAATCTACATTATGTTATATAAATTATCTCCTTATCTTAAAACTGCACTCTAACCCTAAAAATTCTTAACTCGGTGAATTTCGCCTCTGGTGAATTTAAATTATTTCTATATATATAGTCAGACATTGGTGACTATAAAAAGTCGTGATTAAATAAAGGTCAAAATTTATGTTTTATAATATCTAGGTTAAAAAATTATTGTGATTATAACAAGGTTGTGACTACCGGTATATTGAGAGTGACTATAACGAGGTCTGACTTTATATTGATATATATATGTGTATGAGTGCGTGAGAGAATGAAAACAGGAAATATTTCCTGATTTTCACTCATATAGTGTATATACGTAAGTATACCGCTTAAATTATTATACAGTACTGTATAATTTAAACATATATATATATCAGATATATGCTATATTTACATTAACAATTTTTTTGAACTGAAGTTTTTTTTTATATCGTTTTTTTTATCTTACATTAAACGTTTACCCGTTATTTAGAACACTTCTTTTTTATTACAGCCTGACAAGAATACCACGCCGACTTTTTTGAATCTTTATGGTAAGGACTTGAACTAGAAGAAATCGTTAGCAGATGTACTATACAGGAACGCCACATTGTTATTGAGTCTTCTTGATACTTGATAATAACTTTGAAATCGGGAGAAGGGAACATTTCCAGATGCACTTTACAAGAACACCACGTTTACTTCTTTGAATCTTACTGGTAACAACTTTGTATCCGAAGGAAGAAAAACACTAGAAGGTACGTTTTGCAAAAATCATGCAGTCTTTTTTAGATATTACTGGCAATAGCCTTAAATAAAATTAAGAAATTGTATTTAAGAGTACATTGCAAGAACGCTAACTTTGAATTTTTCTGGTAAAAGAAAAAAGCGTTAGTAAACGCACTACAAGAGTACCATACTGTCGTTGTGTCTTCTTTTGAATGAGGCTGAGGAAAGGATTTCCAGATCACTTTATAAGAACACCATATTTACTTCTTTGAATATTACTGATAACAACTTTGGATCAGAAGAAAGAAAAGCATTAGCATATACTTTTTCAAAAAATCACGTTATTTTTTTTAGTAATAGTCTTAAATCAGAAGGGGAAAGCATTTGTATGTATGTATATATCAAGAATACCACGCCGACTTCTTTGAGTCTTTTCGGTAAGAATCTTGGACCAGAAGAATTAGTGGATGCACTATACAAGAACTGCGTGCTGTCATTGAGTCTTCTCAATAATAAGTTGAATCTGGAGAAAAGCATTCACATATGCACTTTACAAGAACACTACGTTTACTTCTTGAATTTTTTAATAACTTTAGATCGAAAGGATGTAAGTGCATTATACAAGAACACCATACCGCACTGTTTCTTTGGATATTACATTTTTCCAGTAATAATCTTTTCATCAAAAGAGAAAATCATTAGTATATGCACTTTAAAAGAATATCGCACTATTACTTAAAATCTTTCCGGTATTAAGCCTTTAGTCAGAAAACAAGCATTTACAGATTCGAGATCAGACAGCACGATACTTCCAATGCAAAATTAATTGTATGTTAACTTATAATAGGCGGTATATATTAATTATTTTTAAATCTTACTCTTGATTATAATTATATTTATTTTTTTAACATCCTATTAAGGTTTGAGAGAAAGAATTTCATAATTGAACAAGTAGCAATTACGACATTGATCAATTAATTCAACAATCACAATGAAGAATTATTAAATAGAGCCCCTTTAGAAAATTTGCAAATATTAAAATATCTTACTAAGAGGATGCTTTGCCTGTGTTTGAATCAACAAGGATTCGACGAATATATGGGCTAGGTGCTGCGAAAAGGGACGAAATTGACAAAAACAAAGGTCTTCAGAAAATCAATTTTTATGTTGTAAATCATATAATAAATAATAAGAAAATACAAACTTTAAGAAGCTATATTGCAAAATTTTTTTAACACAACTACTTTTGTGTCTTAAGCGAAAAAGGATCCTAAACTTATTTTAAATTGATTTATGTAAAAAAAAATCCTTTGAAAAAATTGTCAATTTCGTCCCTTTTCGCAGCACCTAGCACATATTATAGGGTTTGACCTGAAGAATAAATGGCAGAGAAAGCCGCAAACAGATTTTTGTTTGAAAAGCCTTGACAATTCTAAAGATATAGTACGAGGATTTTTATTAGTGTGGTAATCTTATTTATTCTAATAATTAATATCTAGGTTAAAAATCGACAATTGCTACTTATGGAGTAATTAAAAATCAAAAAGATGGTAATTACATATGGTTATAAAGTATTCAAAACAAAGAGTCTCCAAAAATTTTAGATAGTAAGTATAATGAATTGAATTGGCTTCTAAAATAGCTAATTTATATTACGTAGCTTATGGGCTTAACGCAATTCACGAAACTAATTTCAGTGCATAAAGATTTTCTTTTCGGAAGCATGATACGTTTAATTCTCACATCACCATTTTAATTCAGCTGTTGGAGTCCTTTGAGATAACAATATCTAACATTATATGGTCCATCAGGTAAACACCTTATGTTTGTCCTTTTCAAAACACCAACTCCGCAATGATCACAATATTCAACGTTATGTGATTCATCAGCATCGCCCATCTTTTCGACACCAATTCCGCAATGAAATAATATTATATTTAGTGTTCCGCACGGTCCGGTTCGGGTTTCATGCAAACCCGAACTGGAATTCGTCTGACCGTTGGTAAGTTTTTTTTTTATTTGACGGTTGGATTAAAGTGTAAAGATAAGTTCAAAAGCCGGATCCAAATTTTTTTGAAACTTGTTTAGACCCTTTCGTTATACAAGTGACATTCTAAAATTTTTTTTTTTTCATCAATCAATCATTCTAATATTCTATTTATTGAGGTCAGGCGCTTAATATGGATGGGTTCGGTCAGCTAGTAGTCGGCTAGCCGATCGGCTATAGCCGTAGTCGATGTAGTCGACTATAACGGCTTAGCTGACCGGCTAGCCGATCCCAAATTTTTTATTAATTCAGCATGAAGTGTACAAATTATATAGAATTATTGCACAGCAGATTCTCGATTTTGATTGGCTAAGAACGACGATCAAAAGTCTAGGCTGAAATTACTCAGAATCTTACTAATGAAATCACAGCTGCCCATTAAATGAAAATGTTCCTGGACTAATTTTACATAGTATAGGCTTATTTCCCTAAAATTTCTATTTTTGTAATAAAAAGTTAAACCCTTAGTTCCGGCCAAAAATTCGTAACAATTGTATAATGCGGGCTAAACCACGGTAGTTAGCTAATTAAAATTGATAATCTGCCGTGACAAATTTGGTGTGACAGCTAAAATATTTTTATTGTAAGATATTGAAAGACAAGAATGCTTTATCTAACAATCGAGCAATTTTTTTGATAATTATAAATATCGTGGTTTGCAAAATGTACCCAATTTCAATAATTTTTTTATTTTACTTATTTTACTTTATATCTTACAGAATTAAATAAAAAAAATTTAAATCAATGGTTGTTGAGAAATCTTCGTTTAAGTTAATAAAAAAAGAAATTTTACTGATTTTTTTGTAAATTTCAGATTTCTCAACAACCATCTATCAAATTTCGACAAAATTTTTTATTTAAATTCTACAAAGGTTTGGAAATAAAAAAAAACTTACTACAGAAGACCTCCCTAAGTGCACGCCCTCTCTAAATGCACGGCATAGCTTAGCCCCAACTTGTAAGAACGCTATATATTTTGTCCATAAATGCACACTTTTTAAGTGCACATTTTTCTTTTTTTTTCTTACTATGGTCCCGAGGGGTGCACTTAGGGAGGTCTTACTGTATGTTTAATCAAAATTTTATGTGGGCTGATTTCGACCGATTTACATATTCAAACCAATCTAATTCTGGTCAA